TCTCTCTCTCTCTCTCTCTCTCTCTCTCTCTCTCTCTCTCTCTCTCTCTCTCTCTCTCTCGTATTAATTGTGTATTTGTTTGTGATTTACAGATAAGAGTAGCTTTTGGTCTGAATTCAAAGCTATTGCTGTTTGAGACTCGAGATAAACGCAATGCAATTGATTTGAACTCATATAACACTGGATTAAATTTATACAACGACTTCAATGGCAGAACTGTCTATGCGTTTGAACATTGATTACAAGAATTTAAAATTGATTTAAAATTATTAATGAATTGTATATTTATTTTGAAGTTTTTAATTAAATAAATTAATGATTATATAAAATGATTGAATGTGTGAATTGATTAAACATTATATTTTTTTTATTAAACTATGTAAATTGTGTTGCATTTGTTGAATGCTAGTTACAAATAGTGTGACAATAAGTACTGCACTAATACTGTGTAACAGAATATTCTGTTTAACACTATTTTCGTGTACTTTATGTACAAAAGCCGGCGATTAGTGCTATATTGAGATCACGTGTGTTGTTGTCATGCAATCAAAACAGTAGTGTTTTGTTGACAACACATGACTTAACCATTGGTTTCAATGTTTTCATTGTTAACCAAATCATTAGTTTTAATACAATTTAATTCAAATCACTTTTCAATGGTTTTCAATTCACTCAACGGTTAGTGTTTTGATCGCAAAACAAGTTGTGATATATTTTGTGACACAAAAAGTGATACAAAAATACTTGACTTTGAATTCAAACTCAATTGTCTTTGAGGTGTGTTTTGAGCCATGGATTCACTCGACGTGAATGTCTTGGACTACGACTTGATAGCCATAGATATGGACAACACTTTAGTCAAGTATCGGCTCAACAATACTCTACCACTCATTCATCGACTCATTCAAAACCATTTGATCCAATCGTACGGCTATTCCGAAGACATTCGCCAAGAGTTTGATCCCAAGTATTGCCAAAAGGGTTTAGTTATAGACAAACGGCGCGGAAATGTCCTCAAACTGGACGCCGAGTATCGGGTAATTTGATCCAATCGTACGGCTATTCCGAAGACATTCGCCAAGAGTTTGATCCCAAGTATTGCCAAAAGGGTTTAGTTATAGACAAACGGCGCGGAAATGTCCTCAAACTGGACGCCGAGTATCGGGTGATGTCTGGCAGACATGGATTCACACGACTATCGGAAGAGACAATTCATGGCACTTATGACATGGAGGAAGGGGTGCGACAAGAGTTGCGCCAAATCGTGGATGTGTTGAGCGTCGGAACAATCAATCAGAAGAGATCGGCCATCGATTTCGCGCTCATCAAAGACTTCTTCACTTCACCCGCGGCTCAAGTGTTCGCCAAATGCGTGGAAGTGTTGGACAATAACCACAACAACGACGACAACACCAGTCAGTCATCGGAGTCACAGCCGGAGCCGCCATCGGAGCGGAACTACTGCCAGATATGGACCGATATCTACAGCTGTCTGTGCGTTATGTATGAGAGACAGCAGTTCCGGAGTCGCGCCGGCGGTTGGTTTCCCGAAGTGATCGCACGGCCGGAGCTATACATCGAAAAGTGTACCGAAAGAGTGAGGCGAGCGCTGGAGGGGTGGCGCCGGTCGGGAGCGCACGTGGTTTTGGTCACCTCTTCGGACACCGATTACGCCCGACATCTGATGAGCCACTCGTTTGGCGACCAATGGATCCGGTGTTTCGACTTCGCGCTGACGTTCGCCCGAAAGCCCACGTTCTTTACCGATAAGTGCCGACCGTTTTTAGCGCTCGATTCGGCCGATCGAGTGGTCGGTCCGGTGGCCGCCGATGAGCTCCGCGTCGGCCGCGTCTACTCTGAGGGCAATTGGAATCAATTGAGACAATTGGTGGCCAAACGCAGCGCCAAATCGGAGCCCAAGTGCCTCTATATTGGCGACAGTTTTACCGACGATTGCATTGTTCCCAACCGTTACGCCGACTGCCATACCATCGCTATTGTCGAAGAACTCGATGAACACATCCGCCCGGAGTTGGACTCTAAAGGCTATTGGGAGTCGTTTTTTGCCGACACCGACAATAACGCCACCCTTTGGGCCCATTTGTTGGCAAAACACACACGACTTATGGTCGCAGATATGGACTCACTGTCCGCCCGGTGTCTGACCGGCGCCTCCGCCGACGCCGTGACCATCGATTGACACGTGATTTATGTGTTAAACCTGTAGTTTAATCGATAGTTAATGAGATTTAATAGCAATAAATACAGTTTAAAACAATTTTCAATTTAAACCATAAGTAATTTATAGTTGTGTTTGAAATGATTTGTAATTTTAAATTCAGATTTTGCATAAAATCAATCACTTTTACTGTCGATAAATGTTGTCGTATGGGATCAGTTGTCGGCTGTGATTGGGTGGCCATTAATTGCGGTGATAGTTATGATCAATTGTGATCAATATTAGCGACAATCGACACGTAATGTATGTAAGGCTTACGTAACCCAACAATTGGCGCCAAATTGTCACGTAATATATGAACGAAACGGCGGTCTAATAGTGAAGCTATTGTAAGGTTTGCGTCAAATCCATTGACACGTGTTTCGGAGAGTTTAGTGGCAAAAGAGGTTTGCGATCAACTGATCCAACGATTCGTTGTCAAAGTGCGGGTAAGTGTCGGCCCAACACTACTTTACCACTCATTCATTGACTCATTTGATACCATTTGATCCAATCGTAGATATCTTATACCGAAGACGATAAGGGAAACGATAGGGCAGTGTTTGGTGTGAATGATGTCCGGATGGAGCGCTTCCCGTATTGTCGACGACATCACCAAAATTGAGAACAACTTGTTGTGTCTTATCTGCAGATGTATTATGAATAACCCGGTGATGACTGAATGCGGCCATAATTTTTGTCTTAAGTGTATCAGCGATGCCATGAATCAAGTGTCCGCCACTACGACCGGCGCCACGACTGCCGCACCGACAGCCGCACCGACAGCACAGCCAACAGCGGTTCCGAGCGCTTCCACGAACGCATCGAAGAAGTGTCCCAAATGTCGGCTCCCATTACCAGTGGACAGGACTCCGGCCGCAGATGTGTTAAAGTATAGTCGCATTCGTGTGCACGAAGTGGTGGTCGTTCACCGAAATATCGCACTAAAGGCATACATCGACACATTGACCATAAGATGCGATTATCTTCGGTTCGGTTGCAATCACGTGACGGAAGTGCAGAAGATGGCCGCACACGAGCGCAAGTGTAAGCATACATCGTGTCCAGACTGCGGCACTTCAGTCGAATCGCCCGAACGGCACAAATGCCATGAAATTCTTAGCCAAAAGGTGGCGAAACTGGAGGCTCGGCTCGAGTCCGGGCCGACTCTTGTAGTGAGACAGCGACGGATTGACGGCAAGGCATTGATAGTGTTCGGCGCCTTTAAGACCACATACGGCACACTCAACACCGCCTCTAACATCGATGGCATCAAACTAAAGGGCGTGAAGCCGAGGGTCGACTCGACCGTCAGTCTGACCATCGAATGGCCAGAAATAAGTCGTCTATTCATTAGCATAGATGACAGGAACGGCCCGACGATCAGCATTTGGCCGACGGAGAGGTCGGTGTCGCGACTTAACGCCATATTGGATGTCACTTCGGGGCCGAAGAACGAGGGATTGAATCTTAACGCCAAAGGTTTGGTAACCAAATATCGATTTGTTTGCCGTCTATTAATATCTCTTTTATTGTTGTGTCCGCACAGAGAAGGCTAAGAGTGTGATAACAATCGCCGTCTTGGGTATGAAGACAGTGACCGACGCGTGGGCTCAGGCGCTGATCGATAGGTGCCGTGAAGGCGGGGGCGACCAAAACGGACGGTTCGCTAATTTGGATGAGTCGGTTGTGCCGGCGCTGGCGTTCGCTCTTTACGACCAGTCGTTTCACTGATTTGTGTTTTTTATATGAAAATAAATTTTAAATGATTAGGAATTTTGATTTTTATCGTCATTTAAAATATATTAAATCATTTGAATTAAAAAAACAGTTTACTATTATTTATGTCGCCATCGGTTCCGATCAGAATTGGCAGTAATTATCGACACAACGACAACAATACCATCAAAAGTCACTCAAAGTTGCGGATAAACACACCATTCAATCCAATGGCAAGTCTAAGAAGCGCTCATATGTTGGACAAGACTGGCGGCGAAGATAAGAGAGATATACTCGGAGTCAATGGAATCAATTGTGATGATAATTGCGGGCCAATCGATGGGCACCGGGTTTGTTGTGGACGACACGGGACTCATTGTGACCAACTGTCATGTGCTGAGCGATAGTCAAACCGTTTTGGTTAAGCTATCGTTTCCGACGCCATTCTTCGAGCTGTTCGACAACCAAACCGCCGATGATTTGGTTGAAACAATCGGTGGACAAGTGGTGTACTGCGAGCCTGAGCTTGATCTGTCGCTCGTCCGGGTGTTTGTCTCACCCGAAGCCCTACCGGCGCTCTCGTTGTCGACTCGCGACCAGTCGCCCGGCCAACCAATGCTGGCCATCGGGAACCCGGGTTTGGTCAGCAGTACGGCTGTTGGCGTTGTGTTGGGCACCGATAGGCCCGACATTTTGACCGGAATGTCGTGTTTTACGCAAATAATGAACTCCTATAACATAGATCGGCCACAACTGCAACACTCGGCGCCGACAACTGTCGGCTTTTCCAGCGGTCCGATACTCGACCGCAACGGCTCTGTACTCGGCGTACACTTCGCCGGACTCGTCAACAGCGGGACCGCCGCTCTGTCCAGTCATGTGATCGGTATGTGTGCTATTGGTTGAAGTCGGGTATGGAAAGCGTTTTTATCACGTGTTTTAATCGTTTTGTGTTTATTTTTATAGATTTCATAACTAATGGCAAAGAGTTTGAACGAAAAGAAGAGATAAAGCAGTACTCGATGTCCGGCAAGAAATCGTTGGGAGTAGTCGTAGAGCAGAGGCCGGGGAATAGGTTTGTGGTCTCCGTTCCGCCCATTAATACTCGACCCGATGTCCCGGAGTTTGTGTTTTTCATTATATAATTGTTGTATTGAAACATAGTTTATATGGTTTGTTATTTTGCACAAAAAGACCGAAAAATTTGTTAAAAACGATTGCATTAAGCAAATCAATGGCAGACTTTTACCACGTTTTCACAATTGGTGGGCGCCGGCCTATCATAACCTGTGCTATACATAT